GTAAATAACGGGAGTATTCTGTTAGTCGTGAGATTATAAACTTTACGCTAATATACTCTCTATCTCTCTCTCTCTCTCTCTCTCTCTCTCTCTCTCTCTCTCTCTCTCTCTTTATCATTGCCTTAATCCGTCGATGACAACATGACAAACACACACACACACACACACACACACACACACACACACACACACACACACAGGGCCAAAAAAAAGTTCCTCTCTCACTCAGGTTCAGTCAAGCAGGCAAACAGATGACTCAGGAACAGGATCCTAAAATGAGATTACCTTTTCTTAACCAGGTGAAGCTCAGGTGAAAAACATGGTTGTCTCACCTCATCCATTATACACGGGACTTCAAGGTCATCAAGGCAACGAGTTTTGATTTTTTTTTAACCAGAAAGAAAAATTATATTGATTTTAGGACAAAAGGAAAGGGCAGATGTTTCTAAGGAGCAGGAGAAAGTTATGTTTTTTTTTAGAGAGTTAGAAAGGGGTAATGTTTTCAAAGGATCTAGACGGGGTTTATTTTTTCGAAAGTGTTTGAAGAGGACCAACAGTTCCCATAGTGCTAGAAAGGGGCAATTGTTCCCACAGTCCTAGAAAAGGGGGCAACAGTTCCTACAGTGCCAGGAATTTTGTTTTTTTTTCAAAGATTTATGAAGAGAAAGAAGAAAGCAGGAGGTAAAAATAAATCCCGGGAGGTATATTAAAACTTTCATAATACGAAAATAACACAAGAGAAAGAAGGAATAGAGAAAGATAAAATAACTGGAGTAAAAGGATTAAAAACAAAAAACAAAAAAGTGATAGGAAAGATGAAAATAGAAAACCCTGGATAAATGAAAGTAGAGAGAGAGAGAGAGAGAGAGAAGAGAGAGAGAGAGAGAGAGAGAGACCAGATTCATCCCTCCTTACTACCCACACTAACTACCATCCGCCCCTTTTACCAATACCACCCTCTATCCACTGTATACAGCCCTTACTCTCCTCTATCCCCCCCCCCCAGTCCTTTAAAGGCTAAACAAATCCCATCAATGTTTTCAATAGACGCTGTTGTACATAATGTGTTTCGTCAGCTTCATTATCAACTTATCCCTTCCTGACCTGACTGGTGGATGTTGTATCTATCTGATGGATGTTGTATATTGCTGAGAATGTGGCTAAACGAGGCTTAAGGAGGCCGTTTAACCTTGATGATATGGATGTATGTTTGTACGTACGTCTGTCTGTCTGTCTGTCTGTCTGTAAAGTGAAAGTGAATGAATGAACTAAAGTGAATGACAAAGATGAATGAAAAACGAAAAAAAAGGTAAAAAAAAAATATAAGTCGTATTCATTGAAGCAAAAAATATATTGTAATTTTAGTTATAATATTTTATTGAGAACTTTATCGAGGTCAGTCATGATATAATACCATTTTAGAAGGAAGAAAATATATGCAAATAAAAAAGGGGGAGAAGATGTGTATGTAAAGAAAATATAATGTGTTGTTTTCTTGACCTGGTTAGTGTAAGACTTCCTGACCCTTGGATGGTGTTTTATGTAACACTATATAGAAGTGTCAAGTCTCTCTCTCTCTCTCTCTCTCTCTCTCTCTCTCTCTCTTGTTACTCCCGCTCTTCTAAGACCTAATGACGTCACGTTCGTTGGGAGACAGTCAGCACAAAGTGAAAATTATCTCGACCTAAAAAGAAATTGCAACAGAAATAATATATATCTTATTTATATATATATTTTTCACCTCAATTACTTTTTACTCTAGACATAAAAAATTCGCTGGAAATTTATATATATATTTTAGGGGGGGGTACGGGGGGAAGGTGTGATATATATAATTTTAATAATTTTATTCCGTGTGTTTTAATTTTATTTATGAATTTGTATCACTTAAGTAACAGTATAACCGTGAAAGTAAACATGATATAGAAGTGAAAGTAAACATGATTTAGAAGTGAAAGTAAACACAATATCCAAGCTATTAATGACCTACTGTAATATAGCATAGATAAGAAACATATTTAAATATATAGACGAGTATTATGTTCTGTATTATAAAAAGCTGCGTCTTATAGCGGTTTAATGGAAAGATATGAGAGAGACGCCATAGTTAAGTAATCGGAGGAATGAAACAGGTGCATAATGAGATCTGTGGAATACAGGTAAACTTGACAATAAAAAGATGTATTACTAATGATTTTTAATTGTTGGTGGACTTGTGTAAATACTAAACTAATTATGTATTTAAGGACTTCAGATGTTGATGTGTGGTAATAATATTATAACAACAACAGGGAACTGGGATTAAGGTGATGTGGTATGCTGGAAAATGACTTGTGTTGTGATTATGTTTATAAAAGAGAATGGGATGATGGATTTTATTTTTGCTCGTCATTATCGAACATAAGAAAAAACGACATAGAAGAGAGCTTAGGTGGATATTCTATTAAGGAGTGGATGTATGGAGGAAGTGAAGGAGTGGATGTATGAAGGAAGTGAAGGAGTGGATGTATGGAGGAAGTGAAGGAGTGGATGTATGAAGGAAGTGAAGGAGTGGATGTGTGAAGGATGTATGGAGTGAATGGATCTATTAAGGAGTGGATGTATGGAGGAAGTGAAGGAGTGGATGTATGAAGGAAGTGAAGGAGTGGATGTATGGAGGAAGTGAAGGAGTGGATGTATGAAGGAAGTGAAGGAGTGGATGTGTGAAGGACTGGATATTCTATTAAGGAGTGGATGTATGAAGGAAGTGAAGGAGTGGATGTATGAAGTAAGTGAAGGACTGGATATTGATGAGACAAACACCTTAAGATTGTACTTGATATAACAGTGATGAGAAGGACTGTGTAGCATTACCCACACCTGAGAGCAACACTGTACTGGTAAGGGCAAACTCTTCAAGAAACTATCAAGTGGTGGAAATGCGGTGGTTACAAATATTTCCAGCTAAAGGAGGACTTGGGATATTAACATAGCTGGCAAATATGGAAATGGATCGAGAAATTATCCTTTTTTTGTATGATAAAATGAGAGTTTATATTCTGATGGTGGCTGTGATTTGGACAAGAGTTCAAGGCAGGCGTAGCATTCAAGTGAGCTACTGAGAGATGATTTGACATTGTTATTATAACGATAGACTAGACTTGTATGTGGTGTAGGTTAGTAACACGAACAGAAGAGTGTGTAGGTTAGAAGCGAGAACTTAACCCTGATATAAACCAACATTGAGAAACAAATAGTGAAAAGTGAAAATTTTAAACCGTCCACTATTCATGGTTGAGGAGAAATAAGAAAAATCCAGGCAGTTAGATATTTTACGAACACCAAAACAAGGAAGTTTGGCGAGGAAAGCCTGATGCCAGAACTTGTTGAAAACTTTAGAAATACCAAAAGCAACAAAGTGTGGGATTCGCGGAAGTTGGCCAGAGCAAATAGAAAGTTTTAAGTCAGAAGAGCAAACATACTTGAGGTGGAATGGCTGACACGGTAGGGGACTTGAGAATCGGGGAGGAATTGGTGTTCTTCAAGGCGTTTATGTATCTATTTCTTGACAGATTCCATTAACTTGATGAAATCTTCCTCCGTTCATGAGTCAGTGTTTGATGATTTAATCTTAATGAAATTCACGTTTACGAGTATCGAGTTGAAGAAAGTCGAATGAGATATGACGGGTAATAACAGTTCGATAACAGATAAATATATCTCTCCGTCAATGCTGAATCAATGGATCAGTCAAGTCAGTTAAAACAAACCCACGTAAAACCAGGACTACAAATCAACGAATCAGTCAAATCAGTAAAAAAACAAACCCACGTAAAAACGGTTCCACAAAAGCAGCTAAAACTCCCACCCATCAACACACACACCAACAAAACAAGTCCCAACGACCTGTACTAGTAAGAGGTTCCCCAGACTCTCGCACCGCCCCCTCTCCCCCATAGAAATCTATAAACCAATTTCCATTATTTACCACCATCCCGCGGGTGTCGCTGACGTCGATCGCTATAGAATGAGGTGTCGGGTGCCGCTGGGGTGAGAGGTGAAGGTTGGTTATGTGGTTGGGATTTCGTTGGTGTTTGTGTTGTATCATGCCTTATAGGGGTTGGTGTGTAATCCGATAATCTATATATAAGATGGTGTGTAATACTGGAAGCTTTAAATAGGATAAAGTGTAATCCCTCTTCAATCGTATACAGAAGGCTATATAATTCCTATATAATATACCATAATGTATAGTGGATCATTTACCACTGGGAGTCATAAAATAATCACTATTTAATTCCTATGCAATAAATTAACCCCATTTTTTCTTCTTCAATAGATAATTAATTTATACGATTAGTTGGTTATTTCCGAAGCAAATTAACACTCGGCTCTTGGTTAATTATATTCTATAATAGTGATTATAGTTTTTATCTCTATAATTTAGTATATCAGAAACATATTAACATACAAACACTGATTAATAATACAGATTAATATTTAGTAAGTAAAATCATCAGACATGTCCACATATATCCAGTAGTTTAGGTTAATGATCTGGAGTCAAATGAACCTGGATTAAACCTATGATTACTCACCTTTAATCGGAGACCTAAAGAGGGATGATCATATAGGAGGCAAACAGGTATGGTTAGATTAGGTTGGGATGGGTTAGGTTAGGTTAGGTTTCAGTTATCCATGTCGAATGAGGGTCTTGGGAAATAACGACTCTAAGACAAGATAGGTCGGATTTCACTATCTATCTATCCACCTATCCATCTATCCACCTAACCATATATCCACCTATCCATCTATCCATATATCCACCTATCCATCTATCCACCTATCCATCTATCCACCTATCTATCTATCCACCTATCCATCTATCCACCTATCCATCTATCCACCTATCCATATATCCACCTATCCATCTATCCACCTATCCATCTATCCACCTATCCATCTATCCACCTATCTATCTATCCACCTATCCATCTATCCACCTATCTATCTAATCTCACCTTATCGAAGCCGCTGAAGATGGTGAGGGAGCCACTGTCCACCTCCACACACTTCCTTCCCTCACCACTCACGTCCATGTCGGTGAATTTGATACCGGCCAGTGTGGGCACCTTCTTAAACCCCTTCTTCAGGAACTCACTCATGGACACTGTGGGGGGGGGAGGTGTTGAGAGATGAGAGGTGTGGTAGTAGGTGTGAGGTGTGGTGGTAGGTGAGAGGTGTGGTGGTAGGTGTGAGATGTGGTGGATGATGATGATGATGATGATGATGATGATGGAGAAGTGAGATGATGGAAGACTCTTAATTACCCTCAAGGAAGATGCTATAACTAATAGAGAGCTAAAGTAGTTCTGTACACATATCTTAGGCGAATTACTGTAATCAAATGTCTATAAATAATTAAGTACCGACAAGACGTGGTTATGTGAAATCGTTATAGACTACTTGGTACATTTTTAGACTATGTGAGGAGATCGTTTAGACTACTAGTTGAGGTTACATGAGGTCTTTTAAACTACCCAGATGTTGTTTTAGACTAGCGTTTCTTAACCTTTACCGACCTCAGCACCCCCTGTAGTCAGGTCTAGGCAGTCCAGCACCCCCTAAAATCGATTTCAGCACCTCGGGTTAAGAAACGCTGTTCTAGACTATGTGAGGTCGTTTTAGACTACCAGGTGCTGTTCTATATTATGTTAGGTCGTTTTAGACTACTAGGTGGTGTTCTAGACTGTGTGAGATCGTTCTTAGCTATATATTTTTTTTATTCTGGACTATAGGAGGTCGTTGTGTACTTGTATTATAATTATGTAGCTGTTCTGGGCTATATGAAGTCGTTATAGACTATTTGTACCTGTTCTAGACTACCTCGGACACCTCATACCCATGAAGTCCTTCTATGACCAACTGGGGATATTTTGATCGATCACAATTCGTTCTTAATATGTCTGGGAACACTAAAGTCTTTATCGAAATTAACTGGTAACTTCGTAAACCGTCTAACTGGGAACTAAGTAAACTGCTTAAAATGATACTTCGACTGACTGGGTCACATACTGAACCACCTCAAATTGACTGAATTTTGACTGACGTTACCCATAAACTTTTTAGGGACCTTCCGGGGCTCTCAAAGGAGACTCGTTTCTTACTCACATGGGATCGCCTCATAAAGCAGTGATATCATTATCCGTGGAAGGGATGGAGAGAGGGTGGGTGGGTGGGAGAGAGGGTGGGTGGGTGGGTGGATGGGAGAGAGGGATTTAGGGAGGGAAGGGGGGAAAGGAGGGTAGCAGGGAGGAAGGAAGGGAGGAAAGCGTACCCAATTCATTGTTATAATTGAAGGTTTCCAGCCAGTGTGAATTCGTCCTGAGATTTTGGTTGCTCTCTCTCTCTCTCTCTCTCTCTCTCTCTCTCTCTCTCTCTCTCATTTGTCTGATTCACTATCAATCCATTTGTCATTATATACCTCTGTCTCTCTCTCTCTCCTTCATTTATTTTTATCACTCTTTACCCAGTTCTCTCTCTCTCTATATATATATCGTCTCTCCTCTTCCACCACCTTAACGTCTCTCTTATCTTCCATTCTCTCTACTGCGGGTGGGGAGAGGACGAGTGATGGGGTGGGGAGAGGATGGGTGATGGGGAGGGGAGATGAGGCGGGTATTGATTATAGTGTAATAACATTTAGTCACTGATCACCATGAACGAAGCCTCTCCCCTACCTCCTACTCCCCCTCTCACCCACCTCCTACTCCCCCTCTCCCCCACCTCCTCTTCTCCTCAGCTACCTACCTCCTCCTCCTCTTCTCCCACCTTCACCTATCTCCTCTCTCCTCTCCTTTACCACCACCTCCTCTTTCTCCCTTCACACACACACACAACAAAAAAACAGTGTTGCAATTGCGTTCAGAAATGTCCACCTTTTTTTGATTTTCCAATTTTTCTCTTTGATAATGAGTCACTTTTCAGTCAGTATTTTAAGTGCACCAGAGAGTTCCTTTTCAAGTCGAGGTGTAGTTTTTAAAGCACCAAATTGTGAGAAAAAAGGTGATAAAAAAACACCCTTTCTATTTTCAATGCTTTGATGTGTATTTTAGGACAAGCTGAGTTAATGCTATTTATAGGTACGGAGGTAAAATGTTGTCATATCATACTACACCCAGGTTAATTAAAGTTTGGTTTTAAGTAAGGTCAATGTTTCAGGTAGGTCAGGGTTGGTTGAGGGGTAGGTTATAGTAGGGTGAGGTAGGTTAACTTTGGTGAGGGTACGTTAGGTTAGGTTAGGGTAGGTTAGGTTAGGTTAGGTTAGGTTAGGTTAGGTCAGGTCAGAATGCCAAGAAGTCGTTTATAATATGTATATGGGCCTAAGATCAGTATATAATGGTAATTTTCATCCCGTGAACACACACACACACACACACACACAAAACACAACACAACACAACACAACACAACACAACACAACACACGATATAACATCTTCTCTTGTATTCTTACGTGAGATATAATCCCTTAAATTAAAAAAAAAGATAAAAAAGTTACTCACAATTGACGTTTGTCTTCATGGGTATGTGGTAGTAGAAGAGGTGGGTATTGGGGCAAGCCTTGGCCACCTCTACCATATACTCCACCAAGTCCTCTGTTGTGGTCGGTTTGTCGTATAGGCAGGGAAGTACAGCTACCCCGTCCACACCCTGACTCTCAGCGTGACGAGCCTGCAAGTGTGACCCAGTGTGTGTGAGAGAGAGAGAGAGAGAGAGAGAGAGAGAGGTTCTGTTAGTACGACATCACAAGACTTTCACCGTGTCGCTTTCCCTGTCTCTCACTCTCTATCTCTTCCCATTTGTCTCTTTCTCTATGTCACCGCTCTCTCTCACCCACCAGTAAACCTTCTCCTTAATCCTTCGTGTCTTATCGTCCTCAACTCTCTCACCAAGATGTCGTCACCAAGTCCTCCCTCGCCACTGTCGAGGAACTGAAGCCGATTGTTGACATGTCCTAAATTGTGTAGTGTTCTTAGGGCACGAAGTTCTCTACACACACACACACACACACACACACACACACACACACACGAAATAATACCTGCAAATCGACCGTCAAATCTTCACTGGAAAATACATGAAACATAATTTTGTTTTCCCTGACACATCGTCACATCAGGAGGTAAAGAACAGAATCAAGGCTTCAACACAGGTGACAAATACAACTTCTTATTTTACCTTCAGTATAAGAACACATTGATATAAACTCTTAAAATAATAACGGTTTAACTTTAACCCTTTGAGGACGATGGTTTAACCCTTTGAGGACGATAGCTCGGCCTTTATAGACGATGGTTTAACCCTTTGGGGATTACACATTCTTATCCTTGAAAAAAAAAATGAGCATAGCCCATAAAAAACGATCATTTTTGACCCCTTAAAGATGGCAGGTTAAATCAAACTCAAAAGGGATGGATGGTGGGTGAGGATGGGATAGGATGGTAGTGGGGGAAGGGATAGGATGGTAGTGGGGGAAGGGATAGGATGGAAGAGGGGAAGGGATTCAAACAATTCTCCTTCCAAAACTCTTCCTTACTATACACCAGCACATCCTCACGTCAGCTCTCGTTCCCAAACACTACCTTCTCTTGCATATATCCCCAAGGTACTGACTGTGTACCCTGCTGCAGTCTGACGCATCTCCATATTCAGAGACAGACAAGGTGTGGTGCAGATTGTCAACAGATGCTGGGGAACGCTTGAATGTTGAGTATTGACTTTAGAGAATAATATTTAGTATTTGATAATGGTAATAATCTTAGGTTAGGTTAGATTATGTAATGTTAGGATAGGTTAGGTTATGTAATGTTAAGATAGGTTAGGTTAGGTTAGGTTATGTAATGTTAGGATAGGTTAAGTTAGGTTAGGTTAAGAAGTTTACGTTAAGCTTTTAGGTTAGGTTTAGATTGTATTAAATTTGAGGTTTTACTGAATATCTCGTCAGAATGGTGTCCGTAATGCCTAATTTAAAGCTGCCGTGGCCGAGATATTTCCCCCACCGTTCTCTCTCTCTATTCATCTGTCTCTATCTCTCTTTATCTCTCTCTCTATATATATATTCATCTCCCTCTCTCTCTGTCTCTTTCTTTATCTCTCTCTCTCTCTCTTTCTCTATTTATCTCTCTCTCTCTATTTATCTCTCTGTCTCCAACGCGTGTACGGTGTTCTCCTTTCTCCATCATTTATTCATTGTTCTTCCCCTACACGTGTCTAATGTTCTCTCTGTTCTTTCTCTCCAACATTCCTGTTCTATCTCCAACAATCCTCTGCAGTTCTCTCCCCACTTCTCCTTCTGTTCTCCTGGGTGTTACTATCTCCTGGGTGTACTAACTATCTCCTGGGTGTACTAACTATCTCCTGGGTGTACTAACTATCTCCTGGGTGTACTAGCCATCTCCTGGGTGTACTAGCTATCTCCTGGGTGTACTAGCTATCTCCTGGGTGTACTAACTATCTCCTGGGTGTATTAACTATCTCCTGGGTGTACTAGCTATCTCCTGGGTGTACTAACTATCTCCTGGGTGTACTAACTATCTCCTGGGTGTACTGACCAGCTCCTGGGTGTCCATGAGGCAGCCAGCGCCGCAGTGGATGATCATGGTGGACACTTCCCGTCGGCACTTGACCCAGGCCTCCGTCAGGGACTTTCTCTCTTCTACTGTCATGGACATTCCTTCACCTACTGTCCCGTTCACTGTGGTTAGAGGGGAGAGTGGTGAGTGTGTGTGTAGTGAGAGGGTGAGGGAGGGAGAGGGATGGAGAGGGATGAGGATGCAAGAGTGGGTGGGGGTTGTAATGAGAGGATGAGGGAGGGAGAGGGATGAGGGAGGTAGAGGGATGAGAGTGAGGGAGGGAGTGTGGGAAACTGAGGAAAGGGTGGGGGAGAGAATGGAGTGGGGTGATAGAAAAGGAAAGGGAGGCGTGAGGGAGAGTGTGATATAAAAAGTTACAAGCAAACTGTCAGGGAGAGTAAAAGGGGGAGAAAGAGAGGGAGATTAAAAAGTTAAGGGAGAGTACAGGAAGAGTGGCAGCACGAGGGAGAGAAAATGACAATGTAAAGGGTGATGGTAAAGGGAGACTGAGTGTGTGTGTGTGTGTGTGAGGGAGGGAAAGGCTAGTGAAAGTGGGTGAGAGTGGAAGGAGAAAGAGTGAGAGGAGGGTAAATGGTGAAGGAAGACGAAGGAGGGTGAAGGACTTAGTGAAGAAGATGATGTGATAAAGAAGAGGGAGAGAAGGAAAGATATTGAGAGGGAGGAAGAGGAAGAGAGTGAGTTAGGAAGAGAACGAGGAGAGAAAGAGAGAAAAGGGGGCGACGAGAGAGAGAGAGAGAAAGAGAGAGAGAGAGACAGGTGCATTTAGAGGGGTATATGGGAATCTACTCCTCACACATACACACACACACACACACACACACACACATTAAAGAAGGATCCACACGCCGGCACTGCACTCGATCATCTTCACTTCCCCAACTATAAAATTAGGCACCTGGTTCACCCATTAAAACGTAAATAAAAAGGCGAACTGTTATGTTGACCCGACATTATCGTTGTTGGACTAACGTATCATTTAACCTTATGACGCACTTAAAAACCTTCGTTGTTTAAGTGTAGTAATAACATTATAACAATTATTTATTGATCATCATAACACAGGTACAATATGTGGTGAGATAACTCACTATATATATATGAGAGACACTGTTTTACCACCCTGAAATAACTAAACTAAGTTGTATATTTACGTTTGATTCGTCAAATATAAACCCTGGTAACGTCGGGTGCATCATCTAACATACTGCGTCATAACCAAAGGCGGAGGGGCAACACGTTATCAATCCTGGCCTTCTTTACACCCAGGGGATTGGTTAATTACCTCTCGTTTATAAAGACCTGCGTCACAGCCTTGTCAGGTAATGTCATCAAAAATCTAATGAAGTGAGAAAAGTTACTTGGTGAGAGTAAATAAGGAAGGGGGAATAGTTCGTGGAAATATTTGGTAAAAAAAAAAAGAAAAAAAATGTAAATTAATTAGTTTGGTGTGTGGGTGGGGTTGTGTGGGTGTGTGGGTGGGGGTGGGTGGTAGGTGGGCGGGTGAACCTGTTTTGTCATTTTTTTTGTCATTAATCTAATTCTTTTTCCCTTTTCTATTGAACTCACTCTCTCTCCCTCTTTCACTCTCTCTCTTCCCCGTTTTTCTCCCTCCCACCTATTTCTCTTCCTCTCTCCTCTTTCTTTCCCTCCCACCCCCCCCCCCCCCCCCCCCCCCCCCCCCCCCCCCCCCCCCCCCCCCCCCCCCCCCCCCCCCCCCCCCCCCCCCCCCCCCCCCCCCCCCCCCCCCCCCCCCCCCCCCCCCCCCCCCCCCCCCCCCCCCCCCCCCCCCCCCCCCCCCCCCCCCCCAAGGCACCATATTCCCCACCCTCCGTCTCTCAGTCTTGTGGGACAGGAGAACGTACCTCACCCATGAGAATAACAGACGATGATCACACCTGCTGGGAACTACCACAGGTGACTTCATTTCCCTCTCGTCTCAGGTGAATTATGTCTCTTTGTGGAGAAGGAGAAGAGATACTGGTCCCTAGAGATAACAACTAGTGTAATATTTTCCAAGTGGGTGATGATTAGATAAGGTTCAAGGCTTGTAAATTGTGTACGGTAGAGTTTATAAAGGTGTAACCCATTGATCAAATCACCACACACAGGTAAAATTATATAAACAGGTGGACTAATTAGCTTCGGAAGTATATATAGGGAGATGAAATGTGACATGTAAAACACACATAAACAAACACATAAGTAAAACACAAACAAACAAAATAAGTGAAACAAAAACATTGGGACTTGTGTGTTTGTGATATAAATACAACAAACAGAGATCTACATACAAACACGTTAACAAACACCTCGGGGGGGGGGGGACAAACAGGACCTTGAATTTTGATATAATAAATTCTCATTAATTATATAGGAATTTATAGATTTACAATAACAAACTAAATGTATAATAAATGTATAAATGTATATATAAATAAACAATCCAACGAGAAGAGATGCAGTTAGCTTTGTCTGTCTGTGTCTGTCTGTCTGTGTCTGTCTGTCTGTCTGTGTCTGTCTGTCTGTCTGTCTGTCCTTCCATATACATGTCTCCACCAATCATGTCGTAGAGCCAAATGTTAGTACACTCCCTGGTTGGTGAATCAATGACCCAGTTAAGTTAATGTATGTGTTTACAGCCCTGAGTTAGAGGAGGTAGTTAAGTATACAGGTATACACGGGGTCTTAGGCCATCCATCCATCCATCCATCCATCCATCTATCTATCTATCCATCTATCTATCCGTCCATCTATCCATCTATCCATCCATCCATCTATCTATCCATCCATCCATCCATCCATCTATCTATCCATCCATCCATTCATCCATCCATCTATCCACCCTCACTGTCTCACTCCCTCTCCCCTTTCAGTTGATGTTTGCTTTACTTCTCTACCTAACTTTATCATCTATTTGATTACATGTTTATCTTTCCGTCTGTGCTCTCTCTCTCTCTCTCCCCCATCTTCCACACTCAAGCTATACTCCTCCTTTCCCAAGTAACCTCATTGCTTACCCTCCTTCCCCATACAACTCCACAGCATTCCCCATAACCACATACCTCCTTCCCCATAACTCTCACAAGTTACCTCCTCCTCTTCCCCCACAAGTAACACCACCTCCCCCCACCCCTACCTAACAAGTAACATACATGTCACCATTTACGATCAATAACATCATCGTCCGCTGTTTTTGTCGTCAAGGGTGTACACTATAGACGGCCATTATGTCGTTTATCATCGTAATTGACAGTTAGTCTACAAGAATGATCCAATTGGGTGGCGTAATGGACATTCTCCTCACAAGTTAAGCAACAAATACTCGAAAACATTATAATAGGGTCTCTTATTTAGAAAACTTTATTAATAGTCATTCTGAAGTTAGTTTTGGTGTGTTTTAACAAAAAGTGAAAACCAACTAAACATTGGTCTCTATTAGAAACCTTTATAAGGCTATTAAAAACAACAATAAGATAATTGGTCTAAAAACTATAACAACGATTAAATTAGTTACCTGGACTAACTAAGGTCTAACAAGGATACAATTAACTAGGACAATAAACTAATAAGTGCCTTCTATGAACGAGGAATTAGTTATTTAGACAAACTAATGATAAAAAACTCAGCTATATAAACAAACTTGCAATAACGTGGAAACTAATCACATAAAACAACTCCGGTATCATTCCATTACTCAAGGACAAACGGGGGGGAATTTCACTCAATATCTTGTGCTCTTGAGCGTGGTGTGTGGAGGAGGGAGGGCGCTTCAAGTCCACATCATAATGCAATAAATCGTTCCAGAGGTTCAGTTCTGAGTGAGTTGGTCCGATAGTATACTTGTTGTGTAGTGTGGATGCATTAGTGGTAGATCTAGTGGTGGTGGTAGGAGTGGTAGTAGTGGTGGTGGGGTAGTAGATGTGGTAGTATAAGTGGTGATGGTGGTAGGGGTGAGGGAGGTGTTAGGTGGTGGTAGTGTTGGTAGTAGGGGGGTAGTGGTGATAGTAGAATTGATAGTAGTGATAGTGGCAATAGTAGTAGCATTAGTAGTGGTGGTGACAGTGGTATAGGTAATAGTGGTGGTGGTAGTAGTGGTGGCAATGTGGAAAATGGTAGTGGGCAAACTCTTCCCTCACCCTTATTCTATCATCTACTATATATAATTTTATTTAATATTCGTAAACAAAAACAAACATATCCATTGAATTATGTATAATATCAAGATGTGTTTCCTCTAAGAAGCATTAATTATTACTTTCCACTAAAAATCTCATTATTGTTTCAAGTGGATCTAAATACCACTGAGGATTTCGTACGTGTTGACCCCAGGCTCTAGTGAATAATACAACCACCACCTGATGTGTAATTTATGGTAAGGATGGATGTTGCGTGAGGGGAAGGCTTGAGTGAGGGTAGGGTTTGAGTGAGGGTTGATGTTGGGTACGCACATACATGCATAAAATACACACACACACACACACACATACACGCGCTTGTGAAGGAAAAGTCTTTTATAACCAATCTAAAAACATGAGTTGTCTTATAAACTTACCCCAGATACCTTTCACTCCTCCCTCCTGCAGACACTTGGCGTAAGCTGGGATGACCTCCAGGTTTAAGGATCTGTCAAGGTTAAAGTGACATACAGGACAAGAAGAAAGTGACATCATCATTATCATCCAAATATAAATTATCATTAAAAAAAAAAAACATCTACCGAAAAAACACATCAGCGGAGGATTACGATGAGATATAATCACCAAAACTAAATAACAGCTTAAGGTTATGTAGTGATAATCCACTACATACTCACTACAGTAAACCTTTTCTTTCCAATTAGTGGTGAGGGAAGTGGCTCCGTCTTGAGTACAGTACACAGCCAGACACTCGCCTCACTTATGTATATTTCTGAATTTAGCTGATGATGACAAACATGAGTTAATGTCTTGTTTAGCTGTAGATAGAATTGCAATTTTCTCCTGATCAATGATGATGATAGTTAATTTACTGTTTGTATGTCTGTCTGTTTCTGTCTGTATGTCTGTCTGTTTCTGTCTGTTTCTGTCCGTCCGCCCCCCCCCCCTGTCTCTCTCTCTGTCTGTTGAGACTTACCCATTTTTTTTGAAGGGCGTGAATGTGGGCGCCATCATCCCTCGGAAGGCAAACCTCGACTGTTGAAGAGAATTGTGAAAACAAATAATATTATAGTAAAACAAAGGAAAAACCCAGCCTTGACCTAACCTAACCCAACCTTGACCTGACCTGACCCCAAGGTAGTGTTAAGTTTTAATCATCAGGTAAAATAAGCTTAGGATCTCGGTTTAATTTTCCTGAAAATCAGACAACCGGAAAATTAACCTGAAGCCGCTATTATTCCGGTAGTCCAGTGATCTCTAGGTCAGCCCGTGTTGTGGGAGGCGACACAATGAGACGTGTGGTGTTGTGGTAATTTTCACAGGAAGATAATTTAACGACAGTAAGCGGTGACTTGAGTTACAGTTTTGTATCGCGAAATATACTGTTTAGTCAAATTTTGCTTTTAGACTTTGTACAGTAAAGTTGAAATACCTTCTCATATCATTATTTTAAAAGTGTAAGAGTGTCCAGGTAAATGTTGAATTAATCGAATATATTATTGTCATTTTACAAGGCTGTGTCATAGGAGTCAGACTCACGTGTGGTGCAGCTTACACCCTTAATCTAACATCAAATGACGCCGTCTTTTCAAACTAGGTCACGGTCGTATGAGGTCAAGGGAGTTGTCGAGCCTTCAGGTCACCAGGAGTGTTACCAGGTGATTTAATTGTGTGACCTTGGTTAATCCTGTTACCTCTGCCTTTACACGAGGGTTAAGGTCACCCCCCCTGTCCTCACACCTCAGTGGCTAGCTAAGTCACATGGCATCATCTTTCAATTTCATATTTCCAAGCTATGACGACTTTCTCTCTGCTATACCTGGAGGGGGTTAAGTTAGATTAGTGTGAGGTTAGGTTAGGTTAGAGTAGAGTAGATTAGATTATTTTAAGTTGGGTTGGGTTAAGTTAGCGTCACTTTATGTTAGGGTAATTAATCTTAAGCTGAAATAAGCTGGGGATTAATCTTCAGTTTATCCAATTAAAAGCGTCGACGTCAATAATGAAGAGGTAAAACGCAGTCATTACCGGCATGATATTTTGGGTAAATATTGAGTCATTATTAATTCAGCCGATGAAGGCAAAAATACTTGACATGTTTAATGAGAAAAATCCACTTGGTGATTATTTGTCAGTTTTCATGAGTGTTTGTACCACTACTCTTAATGACCAGGGTTTATGGTGAGGATACACACACACACGTATACACACACGTATACACACACACACGTACACACACACATGAATACACCCTGCACCCCCCCCCCACACACACACACCTTGTTTACAGGTTGCCTTACCTTTTTCACCCTCACGTTTACTCTTCCTGCTTTGCACTTTTCATTTCTCTCTGTCTCAAACAGGATAACTCTTCCTCCCTCTCATTTGTTACTGTCAACTGTTGTTTAAAATATTCTCCACATCTCCCTTTTGCTCTTTCACTTTTTTTTTAACCCGTTTCTCTTCTCACACTGCCATTTATTTGTTCTCTTGTCTTTATCATTCTATTCCTAATCTTCTGGAACAAGAGAATATAATAATAACGCCATTTACGACGTCCCTCATAATCTTAACATAATGAAACTTTACCCAAATTAAGTTAGGATAAATTAAGTTAGACCAGGTAGGCATCTGGTTCACCATTAGTCTGGATGACATTCAGGTACATTTATAACACAGATTCACCATGAAATAGGAAATATACTGAAATTATTGTCATGACACAATTTTTCCTAACAATTCCCTAGTACATTATCAAGTCATCTCTCATCAATAATTACCAACAATTACTAATATTAGAGAACAATTATGTGGAGTCAACAGATTCATTAGTAACTTCACTGTGATTTTAACGTGCAGCATTACCGAGGTTCATTATTTTTGCATCGTCAGTAATGGAAGAGATAACGTGTGTAGGAAGTGTTGTGAAAGGGAGTAATGGTGTTTTCCCCATCAAGATATAAAGGTGAGGAACTGTAACGCATAAGACATAAAGGAGTGACTTACCATTTTGGAAGATATTCTGGTGTGGTCTGTAAAAAAAAAAAGAAATGTTGAGTAATTAGTGGATGAGTGTATTGAATATTATTACTAGTGATTATATATACACACACACACACACACACTCCCCTTCTTGCCCTTGAGAACTCCCCGGCCACAACACATAGCAACACATGCTCAGTCAGGCGTCTTGTTCACACACACACACACACACATCCCTGAAAACAAATAATTATATCATTATTATCATTTACTTTTACCTTTAAAGTAGACAAAAATAATTCTCCTAAGAAATTTCACGACAAATCAAACTCCTATTTTCTTATACAAAATTAAAATAAATCATTATGGAACTGTAGTCTAATTTAGAATATATGTACTTTAGTTTATCGAGCACATGAGACCTATGATGAGGGAATGACTCAATAACAGCAATAATGAAGAACCAAGTACCTACCGTATGTGAGGTCGAGCAGATACACACTACAGCTTACAGTAGTACACTCTTGTTGTCAACTGGGCTTGGTGGCATCTGGTGGGTTTCCCGGATGCTCTCTACCCCCGTTTTCTGTGAACGTGCCCGAGTTTGAGGGAGGACTATGATCTTGGCTTAAGACACCTACCTCATGTTATATATCTTTAGTGATCTTAACTGATAAAACGCGTTAATCATTGTATCAAAACACTGAAGTAAACCTAAGACGTATATTAGTTTCCGTATAACATAATGAGGAACATCCTTGGTCGAATCAACCTCCTGCTTACCACTGTTTGTATACCATTCATACTTAGTGAATTGCTTTATATCTCTACTATGTGTTTGTCTGTTTAGTATTATAAAAACCTTACGATGATATTTGGTGTTGAAGGAGATGTGTATAGTTTTAACATTACAGAATACAAGACTCTGCACGTGGGATACAATAACCTTTAATAAAAATATTCTGGATACTGTTGATAAATCAGTCATTGAAGGCAGCACAATAAATGGGAGCAACAGTGAAAAGCCGACCGAGATTTAGGAATTATAAGTCGTATTTAGAAACGTAGATAAGAAAATACTCCTTCCATTTTTAAGTCTCTCGCCCTGGAAGCCCCCCATCTGGATTACTGTATAAAGGCATGGAAAATCTAACCTCCAGACAGACTTAATATCTATAGAAAATGATGGCCATTAGGTAAAAAGGTAAAAATGTGGCTCACCTGAACGTAACCACTCGCCCCCCCCCCCTTGCGCCTCCAGGTAGCATTTGAGTGATTCTTCAGCAAGTTACATGAGCTGAGGGGGGCTGTTGTTCATGTGATCCAAAATTAGTCCTTAATCTAATCGCCTGGTTATGTCAACACCCTGCTTGCACACTCACCTTGGTCTAGACGTATCGTGTGAAGGTCTGCATTGGGTCTTGGGATTACATCAAGATTAACCACCCTAACGCTAACCTAACCTAACATAACCTTGAGTCAAAAGTACCTCTCTCTCTCTCTGTCTGTCTGCTTGTCGGTCTCTCTCTCTCTCTCTCTCTCTCTCTCTCTCTCTCTCTCTCGTGCAAAATTATATAAGCTATAAAATGTGAGACCAACATACGGTTCTTCCCAGAGCTATCAGCAGGGCGTCGGCTCCCATGCCACAACCACCACCACAGTGCAGTACAGGTCATATATTGCCTCCTTGTGTGCCGAAGGTTTAGTATACAATATGCTGCACCCACACGTTCCCTGTCAGTCAGGCTTATGGGACCCACTTTCACTTTCATCTTTCACGGTCAGTCAAAGGTTAAAAGACAGAGAGAGAGATAAAGTAGTATAGACGTTATCGGTAATCGGCAATTATCCCTATCCCTATTTATCGCGACATTCAGGTTAGAAGAAGTAAATATGAAAAAGCAAAAACTCGGAAGGGATTTTGTAACATAATCGCGTTTATATAATAATACTAATACGAATGTACTGGTCAACATCTGAACTGTAAATTACTTGTTTTTCTCCCAATTTCTGTTGACATTTACATTTTCCATAATATAACATAATTATCATATCACCCATGATGTGCGTGCGTGCGTGCGTGCTGAGAGAATCAAACCAAGAATACAGAACATTTATTTACAGTAATCAGTAGAGGTACAAGAGCAAGTGGTGTTTATAAAGCACGTGTCAATACTCGATTACTCTGCAGCACGGCTTTGAGTTCCGCCGAGTTCTTGAATATTCATGAACATCAAGAAAAACTGAAACTGTGGAGGGAAATTTTCTGTCTCCTTGTCTTTCTCTTTAGTTCTCTCTTCCTCTCTCTTTCTATCTTTCTATCTCACTCACTATATTGTTTTATTGAGCTTTTTTCCATGTTTCATTTTCTCTCTGTCTGGTGTGTGTTTACGCATTTATTTCTGTTCGTTTTTCTCTTTTTTTCTGCATCTCTTCCTCTCTTTATTTCTCTCTTTCTCTCTCTCTTTCATTGTGCCTCCCTGTTCGTCTTTGTGTGTGTCTCTTTCTCTGTCTGTTTGTCTGTATTTCTTAAACAATAATGGGTTTGTTTATAGATTTCATATTAGACAGAGAGAGAGAGAGAGAGAGAGAGACAGGTGATTCCGGAGGTGAGTGACATGAGAGGGTGGTGAAGAAGCTGTCAGTGTACGGGAGGAGGGACGAAAAGAGAGAGAGAGAGAGAGAGAGAGAGAGAGAGAGAGAGAGAGAGAGAGAATAAAAGATAAGAAGGAATAAAACCCAATAGTCAGTTTACAAGATGAATTACAGAACAGAGATAAAGCCAAGGGAGATTGGTTTTCATTTTTCCGCTTTTTGTTTTAATACCAGTAAGTCAAAATAGTGTTGGTCTGTGTATTCCTGATTGGGTCTGTATATATTCAAAGAGTCAATATGATATTTTTTACTTATCCACTATCTATTAACTGATTGGTTTCATTGTCATCCTGAGGGAAGATGGCAACGACTCCTCCTCATCCATCTGTACGAAGGAGGTGAAGGAGGTGATATCCCTTAATGTGGCAAGTCTCAGGAACAATTTGCCACGACTCATAGATGGTAAAGACGTTGGCAGCAACTGACATGATTGTGGTAGCGAGCTCGTCAAATATGTTGTCCAGGGAGGTGACGTTGGAGAGCAGTAAGGAGGGGAGATTGTACCATATTAGGGGAACTTCAGTGTATTGGTACGGTCTGTCAGGAGTAAGTTTCTTTGGTTTTCTACTTTAGGTGACGGTCTTGATGGGCTTCTGTTTATGACGTCCTTATCTGTGGCTACCAACATGGAATATGTTCAGTGAATTTATTAGCACAATAACACTGCCATCAGTATATCCGTTCCTTCGCTTTGAACTATACAGGGTGCGCCAGGAGTACTTCACTGGTGGACATCTGTTAATATCTGTCTCGTCGTAAACACCGCGGTAGTCCTTGCCTCTGGTACATTGAGGGTCACCGACATACAGTAGTACCTAAGGGTTAGTACTACACTGCTCACTGGTGATAGTTATTGTAAATCACGCTTGTTTTTCAATTGGGATACATAATTGGATCACTGTTTGATAACCAATCATTGCACTGAACACTTGAATGTTTCGCTGATAAATCTCGGTGTAGTGAGGTGGTGAAGGGGATGAGGGAATGTATGGTGGGGCGGGAGGAGGGCAGGGCCAAACAAACTGCCTGGAGGGTGCCAAGGCCTTTTAGGAACAGGTCCTATAAATGCAGAAACTTAACAGAAATGTTGATTACTAGATCTGGGGGCCTATAAGAACTGGGATCTATTATTAATGTGGTATATTCGTAATGGGGTCTATTAGAACTGGGGGTTACTATGACTGAGTTCTTATTAGATTAAATATTACAGGTGTTTATCAATATTGGGACCGCTTAGGACTGGGGCCCATTAGGACGGGGCCCAATATCATCTACAAGCACTTTACCAATCGTGTCAGTAATGAGTGATTTTATTTACCTCAGAAACTCTACTCTCTGATACACGCCTCAAGTAATCGAACCATCACCAACCTCCTGGTCACACTCTAACCCACCTACACCCTCCCATTGCCCGCTTCAGTGTTTCAGCCTGGTGCTCGGATCTTGTTACTTGCAACTTTTCGGATCATTTTATTGCAATAATTCTTATACTGTATTTCAATATATTAGAATATTATAGTTTGATAATTTATTAGCGAATTATATATTATAATTTTGATAGATAATTTAATTATACGAATTTTATATTAAAACTTAAATATACAACTATTATACACGAATTTAAATACTACCGTCAAATAGGCATTTAACGTTGGGTGAATTTTATATTGTTGGAATTAAAATTATTATGTTGCTTCAATTATACATTCGATATAGTAATGCATCACAGGATTTTATTGAGAAAATTTTATTTGGTAATTTCCTGTATGAATCTCGCTCTACAGGTAATCTTACTGGAGAGAGGAAGTGAAAACATCTTTTATGACCCTGATGAAGACGAACCCAAAAAGTTCTTAATTAAAAGTGGGTCCAGAAGTAATCTAGCGACAGATGTGAAAAATATAAATCTTTGTCGAGGACGGAAGGTAGTGAGAACACACAAAAATACGTCACTAGTAATTCTCGCGTGATCACACACCCGGTGGCGGAGGGTAAAACATTGGAGTTACGACCCCATAGTGAGTAATGAGCCACCTCCTCGTGGGTAAAGGTCCAGAAGAGGAAGTTAATAACCTCCTTTGAACCACTAGTCAGGGGATGAGAACCTTACAAGCACCAGCCATTAGGACTAGAACCTTCCCAGCACTAACCATTAAGACTTTAAACCTTCCTAACACCAACCATTAGGACGAGAACCTTCCCAGCACCAACCATTAAGACTAGAACCTTCCTTGAAGCACCAGTTGGCACGACAATAACCTTCCTACAAATCAGAGGCTGAACGAGATCCAGAATAAGTACTCCCCGGCTACAGAAACCCTATGCAACCTACAGAATCCCCGGCTACAGAAACCCACTACAACCTACAGAATCCCCGGCTACAGAAACCCACTACAACCTACAGAATCCCTGGCTACAGAAACCCACTACAACCTACAGAATCCCCGGCTACAGAAACCCACTACAACCTACAGAATCCCCGGCTACAGAAATCCACTACAACTTACAGAATTCCCCAAATTTACACTCCAAAAAATTCCTTAAAGCAAAGTTTGTTTGGTCGAAGTTCATTTCTTGGAGTAGGCTAGCAACTGGGGTATGGAAAAAGTACTCTGAGAGGAACGTAAACACCGTCAGTAGTGGAGATCATGTCCCCTGGGGTAGAGGAAACGAACGTAGGTAGCGTCAGAAGTATGCCATAGATTGTTTTAAGAGGATTTGGGGTGTGAACTAAAGGGCCATTTGGTCTTATTGGCAGCCTCTGATGTGTACTGCGGCAGATATTGTACTGTGTTGTGTTGTGTTGTGGGGATGTGCGTTGTGTTGTGTTGTGGGGATGTGCGTTGTGTTGTGTTGTTGGGGTGTGCGTTGTGTTGTGTTGTGGGGATGTGCGTTGTGCGTTGTGTTGTGGGGATGTGCGTTGTGTTGTTGTGT